CTTAGGCTACGATGTTACGAGGGTGGGCAATTCCTCGGACATCATGTTCAAGCCACGATTTCACCCTGTGGGAGGGTCATCAAGTATGTGAAGTTCGCCCGACATGGTCGATGTTAAAGATGCAAGATAATCCGCGGCAAAGTTCACTTCACGATGGATATATCAAACCTCAGTTATCCATCCCTTTGCCAACGGGTCCTTAATTCCTTTGATTATGCTGCTATGTATTCCAGAGTGTTCGCCATTGTGGAGTATCATATCTACGACGTTCTTGCTATCAACTTCCGCTATCACCATACGGTGCCCCATATTCCAGGCCACACTCAATCCTTGGAATAGTCCCCAAGCTCCGCCCCCAAGATCGAGCAAAACCCAATGTTCATTGCAAAGCCCGACACCTACTTACCTTCTTCATCTTGCAAAAGACCTCCCGACCAGGCCATTTTGTCGATTGAACGCACTGTCCGAGTTCAGCTTAATGAAACCAGCCATTGGTTTGGTCCACGAAAGCCATCTAAGCTCTCTGCAAATACCCACTGCACGTAAATTCTTGGCAAATATGGTGGCCGAATAATTCCTTCGACTTGTCTATCAATGGCCATCACACGCCCCAAAATATTTATTCCAATGCGCTCGAAGATAAAAGAGTTTCTACCTTTCCAGATGTTCCAAATTGTGACGCCAAACACACAACTCCAGTTTTCCACATGGATATTCAACTGATTTCGAAGGTTTAGTCGGACCCATTCTTTTAATTCTAAGGTGAAGAAAGGGGCCTGTTGCTGGTGCGGGATTAGTCGGCGTCACGTTTGCTCAGCATGGCTACAGTCCCGGAGACAGTGCAATATCGTTTCTTGTTCAGCGCCGCACAACACGCATGCTACACTCTCCTCCAAGTGTCGTCGATGTTGTTCTTCGTTGGTGAGCAGACGACTTTTAACAACCAACCACATGAATTGTCGGATTTTTTGTGGTCCCGTCCAGCTCCAAACATCTTTCCAGATGCGCCCTGTACTCTCGAGATGTAATCCATCCAAAGCTATGTAGGTGGATCTGGTGGTGAAACGCCCATCACCCGACCACCCCCAGTACATAATATCGGTGCCCAGCCCCGGAGAAGGAGGTAAGGTGGGTGCTATACGTAGCAAAACTGTCGCGGGCAGTATGGGTTGGAAGAGTTCCCATCGCCAAACACCTGCACTATCGACGAATCTATCCAACGTCCAAGAAAGGTGATCTTCCGGTACCAGATGCAGAGCTTCTTGGAGCAGGATTGTAGAACTCGTAAGTCATCGATCCGTCCAAAAGTGTATCCGTTAACCGTTATGAACAGACCATCTGATCCCCTCAACAACAGGCCTCCAAATTTTTGTGATAGCTCGTATAACAGGTGAGCCATGCGAGATCTCCAAATTAGCATAACTATTGGCAAGGTTTAGTCCATATTTCGATGTCAGTACTTGAACCCATAAAGCATTAGGAGAGTTCAACAAACCCCAACCCAACTTCATCAAAAGTGCCTTGTTCATTGTTCTCTGATCCTTAAAACCCAGCCGACCCGCAGCCTTGGGACGGCACAAATCCTCCCATCGCACCAAATTGATTTTCTTATGGGCTTCCGTACTACCCCACAGGAACCGACGACGCCTTCTGTCAATGCTAGAACACACCGAGGAGGGCATCCACGCAGTTTGCATCGCATAAAACGGCAGTGCATTCACCACTGATTGAATCAGTGTGGTTCTGCCCGCCAACGACAAAGCCAAACTTTTCCAGCCAGAGTCTTGTTTCGGTCTTATGCAAGATATTACCGTAGGTCGCATGATTTACTCGCCCATGAATGATGGGCATCCCCAGATACTTGCCCAAATTGTCAACCCGTTCATAGCCCATCGAGCAGGCTATGACCTGTGCAGCGTCTGTGGGAACATTCTTGGAGAAGTAGATTTTTGTTTTTGTCATACTAACTTTTAGGCCGGATATTTTGCAAAACTCTCCTAGAACTTCCTTTAAACAATAGGCCTGATCATTCGTTGCCTCGGTAAACAAGAGTAAATCATCTGCGAACATCAAGTAAGGAATCTTCACTTTACCCCAGCCAAGAGAAATCGGCTTCCACTTTCCTTCGTTAGCGTACCTGTTAATAGTCAAGGCTGACCGCTCCATGCATAAGACAAAGAGGTAAAGGGAGATCAGATCGCCTTGACGGATCCCCCGAGTCGGGGTGAATTCCTCGCTGGGGCTTCCGTTCCATGATAGTTGCCAGATGGTTGAGGTTACACAGATCATAATGCTTGTCACAAATGCTCGGGGAAATCCAGCAAAAGAGAGCGTGCTTTTCAAAAAATCCCAACTCAAATAATCATATGCTTTCTCATGGTCCACCTTGACAACCATCTAGCCCTTCTTACCTGCAAGAGTCCTCATAGTGTGGATTAATTCTTGGGCAATGACTATCTTATCGATTATGTGCCTGCTCAAAATGAAACTTACTTGAGCCGGACCAATCAAGCTCGGCATTAGTCCTTTCATTCGGGTTGTAAGAACCTTGGTAATAATCTTGTACATAACATTCAGGAGGCTTATCGGCCAAAAATCTTTAATTGTGTTTGGATGGTCATCTTTGGGAATGAGCACAATTAAAGTTTTGTTCAACTGTCTAGGCATATCTTCTCCATGCAAGACTTTACGGACAACATTACAGACTGACTTCCCCACGATGTTTCAATTTTTTTGGAAAAAGAGCGCATGTAGTCCATCCAAGCCAGGGCTTTTAGAGGGTGCATTGAGGTTAAAACCTGTAGTATCTCAACATCCGGTACCTCCCTGGTTAATCGCTGCCACTCCACCGCCGCCACCTCCAGGAACGCCACCGGAATCGGCCTACTGCCAGTTGGTGTTGGGCCCGCCGTATATAATTTGTGGAAAAAACCAACTAGCAATTGCCGCAAAGCATTATGGTCGTCGATCATTCTCCCCTCGTCATTCTGCAGGACTGTGATTTTTTTTCGACGGCATCTTTGCTTAACCGAACGGTGGAAAAAAGTCATGTTCCGATCCCCAAATAAGTTCCTATCTCTGTGGGATTTTTGTAACATAAGCAACTCTTCTTGCGCCAAGACTTCCTCAAGCTCCTCGCTTAGAGCTCTCTCCAACATTAGAAGTCTATCGGTGATATAAGCCAGCAAGTGTCGTTGCACACCTCCCAGTCGAGCCAAAAAACGTTTTTTCCGAAGAAAAATGTTCCCAAAGACGTGAGTGTTCCACTCCTTAGCTTTAGTGGAGAAGTTATTTGCCGCAGTTATGTAGTCTGGGGAGTTCCACGTACTTTCAACCAAAGCCCCGAAATTGTCGTGCATGAGCTATGACGCTATAAACTTGAAAGGCTTCGGTCTCTTCGTCCCCTCACCCAAGTGTCATCTGCAATTTAACATCAATGGAGTATGGTCGGATTGATGGCATAGTAAGTGAGAAACTATCGCCGAGCCAAAGTGATCCAGCCATTGTTCATTTGCAATTATTCGATCTAGTTTCTTCTCGATATTCAGCTCGGACCATGTGTACTGGAAGCCATCTATCTGTCTTGACTTCCAAAAAAATATTCTCGAAATAGCAATCGGAGAGGCTCGTATCAAATGTACGACCACGTGCTCCACCCCGTTGTTCTTTCGGGCTCAAAGTACAGTTAAAATCACCACCAAGGACCCATGGGGTTTGAATGTCGTTCGCTAGAGTATTCAGATCATCCCAAAGTTCTCGTCGGCCTCGTGGGTTAGGGCTTGCGTACACAAAGGTGGCCAGAAACTCATGGGAATCGGTCTTCACCAAGGCATGGACAAATTGCTTGTGACATTTTATCACTGTTAACTCCACCCTTTCGTTCCACATAATCCAAATGCCTCCCGAGAAGCCGAGAGGCTCCACACGAAATGAACGATCATATCCGCTTCTTTGCACAAATTTGTCGGCTTTCTTACCACTCACCCGTGGTTCAAAAAGCGCCACAATTTCTGGTTTGTAGCTAGTTTTGAGGATTGAAAAGGTCAGGCTGAAAGACGGCGAGCCAGCACCCCTGACATTCCAGAACATGATATTCATTGACAAAAATAAAAGAAGTGGTGCTATCCATTAGCAAGCGTGAAATGCTACGGAGTTATCTGGTGTCTCCGCGATTATGGTATCTTCCGGTACTTCTTCTAATCCCAGGTGAGTTTGGAGGGAGGTGTGTGAGCTCTCAACCATCATGGTATCTCCTGGATCATGAACTGTTGGTTAACTTAATGTCCCATGGTTGTCTATAATACGTACCGTTTTGTGGTGAGTCGGGTCGAGGCTTGGAACAACATGAACTACATGGGTAGTTTGCTTAAGGGCCAAGTCCGCTATGTCTGTTTGGGAACCAACCTTTCTCATTCCAGTACTGTTCATCTGCCCATTACCACCGTGACCCAAATTTACGCCTTCGCGGTCCTTCTCAGCCCCTCTTGATGGACTAGCCATTCCCCTCGGGTACCTCTCTTTCTCACCCATTTGTTTGGCCGTATAGAATTTTCGCCCCCAGGCCCATTCACATATGCACTCAAAGCCCCAACTCGGCCCAAAGTTCCCCCCAATTTAGCTTTCCCTCTATTTTTCTTGAAGCCAGAGATAGGTCTCCACTTCTCTTTTACCCCACTCTGTGTCGCCCTCTGTTTGGTTGAGAAAATAATGTTTTCCGTATTCTCCTCTCATAGATTCCCTAGGGTATCAAATCGTGAGCCCACATTAACAGACACCCCCTTTTGCTTAGGTAATTTATCATTGACCCCTGAATTTCTCCCTCCGCCGGATCGTCTCTCTTTTTGTACCTACATCCACGGGTCGAAGATCGAGTCATTTGTGGTTTTCGATTCTGCCACTCGGACATTATCATTTTCTGGGCGCTTCTTATCTCCCGGAGTACTTGCCGGCTTGGGAACAATCAGTTCAGCTCGCTCCGGACAAGTGTCGATTTGGTGACCATAGCGTCCACAGTGATAACAAATGTCTGGAAGGCATACTCCACCCTCTGTTGTTTACCTTGGATTGTGAATTGTGCACACAATGGTTTGGTCAAGTCGAGGAGGACCGCAATTCTCGCATACTTGCCCCTCGTTTGCATGGTGGTTTGATGGTCTATCTTGACTACTTTTCCAACGATTTGACCAATAGAACAGAAGATTTTCCTGTGGTACAAATGCAACGGCATACCCGGTAGCCGAATCCACGCAACTGTGTTGGTTATTCTATCAACTTTCTCATCAAAATGTTCGGTCCATGGACGTGTAGGTAGTGCTCGCTGATAACCCATGGACCATCAACCAGAACCTTCACTGCATCATCCTTGTTTTTAAACTTGACATAGAAGTACCCATTTTCCAAATCCACCATTGGGCAGTCCTGTATAAAAGGCCATAAGGTGGCCAGTCTGCGATACAGTACCGCCATACTCATCGTCAGCCCCAAGAGTTTGATGACGACCACATTGTCCCATGATTTAATCACGGCATCCTTGAACGAATTAGAGAGCTGAATATCTGGTTCGGACCGGCTATGATCGACAATAACATCATTGTCTGCTTCTGATTTTGTCTCCTCCTCAAAGGTTAGTACTACATGTTGCCGAGTTTTGGTTAGCATATCTCGAAAGCTGACCCTGTTTTCAGCTGCAAAGACGCCCGATACGGCCGTGGGCGTGCTATTTTCGGCTGTAAAGGCTCCCGGTACAACAAAAGGCATACTATTGCTCGTGGTATTAGGGGGTATCGAAGTATTTATCCTGATCGGCTGTTGCTCCAAAGGGTCCCCTGTTCTCTTCAGGGTCCTCGGTTTTTTCAAAGATCTTGCATTTGCCAACGGCTGTGGGTTGGCTTTCCTCACTTCAGGGAATTCCTCTTGATTCGGGTTCGCAGCGTCATCGCCGGGATCAATATGTTGCGAGGGATCATCGGGCGCAGTAGTGTTGGCTTCATCCATCGCAAGGGTTTTACTGTAGCAAGATTTTCGCCTTTTTACTGTATCAAGATTTTCACAACTATGTTTTTTTTCTAGGGATTTATTTTGGTGTCAATTTTATTGTTAAAAAAAATGCCACAAATATTAGGGAAAATCAATAATACAGGTAAATTTCTCATTAACTACGTAACTGTTAAGTAAAATTCCAAAAATTATCAGAAAATGTCTCAGATTATGGGTCGAGATTTGTCCAAGAGGCAGAGTATTGAGGATCAATCTACTTTGCAACAGAGAAGTCATGGCGACGGTAGCAATGAGAATGGCGGTGGTAGTGGTAAATTTCGTATGTATTAATTGTTAATATACATACATAGTTTACATTTAGTTTATTTGTATTTTATTATATGTTTATGTTGTCAGATCTCGTAATGTACAAAATTTTATTTAATTAATACATCTAGCATAAACTATTAATAAACATCAACTAAACAATTAAATCTTCCGCAATATATATAATCAAACATTGGAAAACATTTGTGTCCAAAGATTGAAACATCATCAATCATACATACATTGAATATAAACTACAATGAAACCCAAACTAATAAAAGAAATCATTATACCATAACTAAACCATCAATAAACATCAATGGAGTTCGTAGCCTTCGAACCACGGAACAAATGCGCAAAAGCATCGTAAGTAAGAGCGACGATGGCGTCAAGGCTTGACGGATCGAGTTCTCGGCGTAGATCTGGACACTGTCTGTGTTCCCCTTCTCGATTGCCTTCTTGACCTTGAGCTTCTCCAATTTCTCCTCCTTGTCGCACTTGAGGGCCTGCTGTTGGAGGCTCTGTGAACTTCAGATCCACAGGAATTTTCATGTTTATGTGTTGTCAAAAGAAAAAAGAAAATAAAAAATGGAGAAGGAAGAGATCACAGAAAGTAACAGGAAAAAAAAAGACATAATTATCTCTAAGAAATTTACCATATTTCAAATGCATTTGACTTGGTAAAACAATTATATCGTATATGGAAATCTATATATATATAAAGAGGTTGATGAAAAAAATACATTAATAGAAAGTTTGACCAAATAAATATAATGTTTGACTTACTATTAATGGAAAGTTCAAAAAAACACATGTGAATATTTAGTAACAAAATCTAAATCCTATTTTTTTGTTAACAAATTTTGAGATTCTTATGGAAAATTTTGAATCCCATTTTTTTTCGTATCATATTTTATTTTTTTACCAAAATTTAAATCATATCTTTTCTGGTAACAAATTTGGAGATTTCTTATGTAAAAAAATGTGTCAATTATTTATGAAAACAATTCTAAATACAAATTAACTTAAAAACCGTACAAATTGTATATAAATTTATGAAGCAAATAGTTGTATAATTCTTAATCAATGCTTCCAATCTTATTGAATAATTTTTTCTTTCAAAAAAATTATGCAAATTGGATAAAACCACGTGCAATTTTTATTTTAAAATAAAATTGATACTTGGACAGGATGTACATTCAAAATTGTGTCCACATTTTTTGATAACAAAAGCGGTTCATCAATGATATTTAATGTCACCTTATCCAATTATTTAGGAAAAATTGTGTGCAACTTTTCAAAATTTAAATGCATCGATTTTTTTAGATTCTTATGTTTTTTCTTAATCCATGTTTTACCGAGTTTTTGGTAAGTTCATATCATTTTTTTTTTTTTTGGTTAAGTTCATATCGTTTTCTTTAGGAAATAGACAGTTACATAAACATTAACGATTTATTAAAATTTTTATTAGAATTATTTTCAATTCAATTTGTTTGGTACAAAAATCGGTGCAATATTAGGAAAATTCGATTGCATTTTTAGGAAAATGTGATGATTTTTTTATTTGGTTTAAAAAAAATTCAGATCAATTTGTTTGGTAAAAAAGATCGGTTTATTAGTAGGAAAATCGGTTTCATTTCCGGGATTAACTAATGATTCTTTTCAATTTTTCTTAATTGAAATTTAGAATTAGATTTATAATAAATAATAGGTAAAAATCCTAAAAAATTCTACTTTTTATCTACTTAAATTTTGTTCAATAAATAAGATCCTTTATTTTTTAAAAAAATTTGTTAACTAATAACTAATATTATGCAATTTTGGATAAATTCGAACACCTATGTAGTACTTTACGTGCCAAAGAATCAAATCAATAATGTTGTACATAAGGAAGTGTTTAATAACATATAAATTTAATTTTCATGAAATTTTTAATGACATGAGACAATTGAAATACAAAAATATTTTTTTAAAAAATAAATAGGTAATAAATACTCCCGTGCATCGCACGGGTACCGTACTAGTAATATTAAAAAATTGATGCCAAAAAAAGAATAAGGTTGTATATAAATGTACCGAAAAATTAAGTGCAGCATTCCCATCAATAAGTCATATATATAATGAACAAAGTAATTTTTTCAAAAGAAAAAAAAGTGGTCATTGAATATTTACTATAAAGTTGAAATACTTTATTTGGTACATTTCTACCGCCTTGCTCTATTTTAGATAGCATTTTTTTTTTTAAACGATAGAAATATATAAAACTTAAAAATATAGTACAATCGAGATGTCAACTGACATCATTAGGACTAGTACAAAGTTTGGACTCATCTTCTCGAAGAGCTGCTACTAAACAAAACATTCACCATAAAATGAGACAACAATAATCCAAGCATTGGAGATAATAACTCGGGCACAGCCGACACAGCCGAGAACAACAATAACAACAACAACAACAACAACAACAACAATAACTCGGACACAGACGACACAGTCGAGAACAACAACAATAACAACAACAACAACAACAATAATACTACCAAAATTAAAATAAAAACCTCCCCTTCTTCTTAAGACCTACTGCAACTGCCACACAACACAACAAAAACAAAACAACAACAACATTAATAATAATAATAATAATAATAATAATAATAATAATAATAATAATAATAATAATAATAAACAACACACACCTAAAACCAAAATTAGAATAAAAACCTCTCATATTTCTTAGGGCCTACTGCAACTACCACACAACCCAAGCACACAAGCCAGTCCTCGAATCCAAACACAAAAAGAGACCAACTAATCTAAAGCTCCCAAATCTATAAACTTCAATCATAACACGAAACACTATGCAGATCAGGCGAGGAGACGAGGAACAAGCCTAAATTTGAGCCTTAAAAACACGTCCCTGTACAGGGGAGAGACCAGAAGCCACGAAAGCATCAACCAATCATTTCAAATATAGGCAAACACTTCACAGGAGGATGCCGCCGTCGACGATGGCCCCATCCGCGACTGGTGTCCACCGGTTCACCATCTGTAATTGGGAGCCTCCCTCGCACCTTCAATTGAGGCATCAAGGTCTCCTTCATCCTCAATTATCATGTTATGCACAATAATGCATATAATCATGATATCATGTTGTGTACAAATTGTTATATTTTACCGAGTATCGAATCAAGGATTCGTTTCCCGGGTCGATCTCTCGAGGAAGGCGG